TTTTCAATTTTTTTTACTACTGTAAGCGATAGAAAGAATTCAAATAGTGATTCGACTAGAGGAAACTGTTCCTAACAAGAAAATAGGGAAATAAAAATTATTGTAAGATTTCCAAAGACAAGGACTCGAGAAAACCAAAACCCTAGTTTTTCAACACCTAGAGTATGTAAATATAATTTTTTTAGACTACATAGAACGATAGAGTAAACAATTCTCTGTAAAATGAGACATCTCCAAGTTCTCTGCGACATTTTGTAGCTGACATACAGCAATCTGATCGTCATTTATATATCTGTTTGAAACCATTTTCTCTATTCGAATCACTGTTTAGATTCTTTCCAGCACTAACGGCATCGGAAAAAAAGTTGAAAATAAACTCTGTTGGTTAATTTTGGTATCCACCGTCTGTATGTGCAGTGATATAATCGAATATTTCATAGAACGAAAGGAATATATCTAATGAATGAGCAGAAATACGACAACAAAGAAATTCCAACACATGCTAAAATAATGATAAGAAAAATCTTCCAAGTTATTTGTCACTACATCACATTAATAACCTCAGATAGTATTCCAGGTGAAGTAAGGCTATGACAAACGTTTTCATTAATATTAGTTGACAATCATAAAGAACAAATATCAATCATTGTAAATAACAGTAATAGTTTTTCATTGACGAGAGTCAGTACTGTCGATGATATACAAAGGTATTACTAACAAGCAACAAAATATTCTTATCATACTAATGTTATGTTTTTACTGTTGAATTTTGTCAACATAAAATTTTACAAATGAAAGATTTACGAAATACATTGATTCAATCGTTTTTATTGATTCTACATATCTCAAAATTTCTAACAAAAAAGAAAGTTTCTTATCTTTCTTTTCATTAACTACCGTTACGATTTTATCATCTTTATTTACAATTGAGTATGAAAGAGAAAGTGTAAATACTAAGCAAAATTTTCAAATTTGATTTAGTTTGTGTAGGGCAAATTTTGTAATGATTTTCTGTAATTACTTTAGTATCTGCATATTAATTTATAAAAGAGAATAAAAATCAATTTAAAATTCATTATAAAAAAAAGAAATGTTTGTTTTGAATGAATTGAATCTTACACTTAGAAGAGATGTCTCGTCTGTACATTGTATCACATTTTTTTTTTGTTGAATGAGAAATATCTGATACTATTCATTATTTAATAATGAATCCATTTGATAAATTCGTACTATTATCCACGGAGAAAATTTTCTGATAATACCGCGGTTTTAATTAACCGCAAAAGTCAGATCGTTTATGTGTCTATAGACACCGATGAAAACCATGGTGAGAATAAAGACAACTGCATCCCGCCGTGAGTCTTTTTCAACTTTATCTGCGGATTTCTTTGACAAATTTTTTCGTTGTTATGAAGTATCTTTTTTTTCTGTATCATTATATTAAGTACATTTCTACTTATTTTAAATAGACAATTTTGAAATCATTAACAGGTGAAACTTTTAGAAGAAACCACTTCTGAAACCGTCATATCTTTGATAAGCACCTCTAAATAAATGATAATGACGCTCAAATAAATCATAAATGTCGAAGTTAAAATGTTCCACTAACACGAATATCTTCATTTAAGCCCATATTATAGTATGTTTGAAGATTAACTGTAATAATACAAAAGAAGCAATATAATATAATAAGGAAAGATATATTGTTTACCAAGAATTATTTGTATTGACTAGATAGAGAATGTACAAGAATACATTCGTATTTATATACGAATGTCTTCAATTCTTCAAGAATAAAAATAACAAACGTACTTTCATCGAATGACGATATCTCAGACGTAGGCACATCTATCAATTAGTGTATACTTTCTTTCATTTCAGTACATATTAACACCCTTAAATTATCTAATCTAATAGACACCAGAGTACAAAATAAAAAAGCTTAGTTGAAGTACGAATGATATCAAGAAATGAATAAAGAATATATGACGCCGTTAATTATTTCATATTCAGGCAGCAATCTATTTCAAATAAAATTGAATCGATATATTGTTTTAACATTAAACAAATAAATATAGACTTTAAAATGAATCAGTTCATAAAAGCAATAAGTCGGTTTTATTTTTATTGATAGAAGTTTTGTATATAAATTAGTTTGCTTTATAGAAAATGAAAAGCACATTACTTCCATATGCTCAATTTTACAAGAAAACAAACATGACTTTTATGGGAAAGCGACAATTAGTCGTAATGTAGAATCGGTCAAATGTTTGATGGAAGTGTGGTTCCTATTTTGCTTCCTACAAATATCAATTTGCACATATGTGATTCAATCGGATATAACACCGCGCGAGGATGAGAGTGGTATCTGAAAAATAAATTCATAGATGATCTCGCTGATAAACGAGAATTGAACATTGACATTCACATTTTGAATTTATCAAAATGTGACGAAAAGACGAAAAATAAATTTATTATCGAATAATGAAAACAGCAGCAGATAGTAGCTCGAAAATAAAAATTATAAAGCATGATGAGAAAATTTTAAAGCCACTATCACCTACTTTAGTGTACGGATTCATACTGAATTAGAGGAGTTCGCTGAACATTCATATTTATACTCATAATTAATGTTTCTTGTCCTTTAATAGACTGTTAGTTATTTTCTGGACCTCTCTGAGTTATTTCTCTATAATACTAACACATTTTTTTTGCTAATTTTATTCTTCAGCATTGTGATCAATTATCGTATGTCCGATTTTCAATGATCAACCTAATTGAATGTTTAATTCAAAAAGGAAAATTTCTATCACAAATTCAATATGAATAGACAACAATTTATTTATCATTAACCACTTTTGATAAAAACTTGTTCATTATTTTGCTAGCTTCCTTTTATACACGATCATCAAAAGTAATATTGTCTGTATTCGATGATTCGATCAATTTGCTAACCTTTTATTTTTATCATAATATATTCATATTCTTTTTTAGCAACCTTTTTTTTCGTGTTCATAGATGACTAGAAGTTTAATATATCGACAAGTTATTTTTTTTATTTACTTTTTTTATCTAATAATCCAAACGACAATAATATTATGAAATGACTATGATGGTTAAATGAGATATACAAAAAAAGAAACATTCAGTAGAATATCGAAACTAATTTGATGATATGATTAATACAATAAAAAAAAAAGTCGATACAATCGATTGCTTTGAATACTCTTTTGAACATTTATTGCATGTCACCACCACGAAGTCGAAGTACAAGATGTAGTGTACTTTCCTTTTGAATATTATAATCACTAAGTGTACGACCATCTTCGAGTTGTTTACCAGCAAAAATCAATCGTTGTTGATCTGGTGGAATACCCTCCTTATCTTGAATTTTAGCTTTAACATTTTCAATAGTATCACTTGGTTCAACTTCAAGTGTAATTGTTTTACCAGTCAAAGTTTTAACGAAGATTTGCATACCACCACGTAAACGAAGTACTAAATGAAGAGTACTTTCTTTTTGAATGTTATAATCACTAAGTGTACGACCATCTAAGATGAGGGAAAAAAATTCAATTAATATTTGTTACAAATGATTAGATTTTTTTCTACCTTCAAGTTGTTTGCCAGCAAAGATAAGTCGTTGTTGATC